AAACCCAGCGATAATTTGGATCCATTTAATGCAGTTTAACTGCATTGAAATGCATTATGGGTCTACACCAGTGGTTCCCAACCTGTGGTCTGCAAGAACGAAAATATGGTCCGCAGCCTCACCATTACTACACTGTTGCTTTGAAACCCTGCGGCAACTAGAGTGAACAGGGATGTCGGGAGGAGAGAGTCTGACTACCCATGAAAGATTACTACTACCACATCAGCTCTAGATTATTAAATATTGTTTTCTTTGGGAAAGCAGATGGCGACTACTGGATGGCATATGTTCTGTATCAGAAACTAGAGCTGATGTGGTCTGTCCAATTCAATTTTTGGAATCAGCACCCCAAATAACCAGACTGAATCTAAAGTTGACCAAAAACTGATTCGTAACCCTTTTGGTACTAATGTTGGAGAGTGGTCCCTGTTCAAGAGATCCTTGTTCAAATTGTCCCTGGTCAAGTGGTCTCTGGCAGTTCCAGACAGGCCTTTATCCCAGAACCATCCATGTTTGAAAAACATGGATGCTCCTGGAGGCCTGTCTATACACACCCCAGAAAGGCCGTGTCCAGGCACTCATGGGACTGGTCCGCAAGAACATCTGGAAGCTCCACCACCCTTTCCCAGAGCCCCCAACCCCCTTTGAAAAGTAAGGAAAACTTACCTGGCCTCCAGTTGACTGTAGCCAGAGCTCTCCCTGCATGTAAAAATGACATGCCAGGAGAGCAGGGGGTGGGGGAGAGTGTGAAATAAATCCACTATCTAATTAATTCACTACAAACCAGGGTATCCCTGGTTAGTGGTGAATTAATTCGGGATTGTCCAGGTTGTCATCTGAACAGCCTCTTGCAGGAGTTTCTGCAATAAAGGGGCTGTCTGGATGTGCCCCCCCCCCGATCAAGTGATCCCTGGTCAAGTGGTCCCTGGCCAAAGTGGTCCTTGGCCAAAGTAGTCCCTGGTCAAGTAGTCCCTGTTCAAGTAATCCCTGTTCAAGTGGTTCCTGGTCAAAGTGGTCCCTGTTCAAGTGGTCCCTGTTCAAGTGGTCCCTGGTCAAAGTGGTCCCTGGTCAAAGTGGTCCTTGGTCAAAGTAGTCCCTGGTCAAGTAGTCCCTGGTCAAGTAGTCCCTGGTCAAGTGGTCCCTGTTCAAAGTGGTCCTTGGTCAAAGTAGTCCCTGGTCAAGTAGTCCCTGTTCAAGTGATCCCTGTTCAAGTGATCCCTGTTCAAGTGGTCCCTGGTCAAAGTGACCCCTGATCAAGTGGTCCTTGATCAAAAAAAGTTTGGCAACCACTGGTCTACATTGACTCTATAATGCAATTTCAAAGAGCTCATTCATGTGTGTGTGAAGGTGTAAACCAATCCATATTGACGGAAACTTCCCTTACCTGGTGTCTGCTTCAGGAATTCAATCTTTGCGAATTCCTCTCTAAAAGGTTTCACATTTCTTCAAATGCATTGAATCCATTCTCAGTACTTTCAACTTATCAAAAAGGGCATTTAAAGCTACATTCTAATAACCACTTACTTGAGAAGAAGAGCTGTTGAATTTACTTTTGAATTGTTAAGGGTAGGAATAATCTGCAAATAAACAATCTTAGAGATAATACACACTTAAATAAATGCATTTGGGGTGCATATGGGCATGTAAATACATTAGTTTGTGAGTAAAAATCACAATTGAATATGGAAATGATGCAACAAAACTATCTTTATAAACATTGCAGAAGTGGCATAGTCCCAAAAGGAGGGGATTGGCCCATCCTGAATCTTATAATAGCTGCCAAAATAAGTCATCTTCACTAACTCCAAACACATATTGGTGCTTCTGCTGTACAAAGATTGGTGAATGGAAAAACATTTGGGGATGCGCTCTGGGAGGGATGCAGTGGAGAACCATGTCAACACTCCTGATCATATGTGGTCCCCAGGATCCTGACTCATTTCTTGAAATCTATGCATGCCTACTCAAGAGAAAGTCCCAACCCAACAATTTTGCAGCCTGTAAAAGAAAACTCAACATCAGGAAACAAATATGAGGCTTCAAATCACTTTTTATCTTTAATCACTGATCAGAGATGAAGACAAGCTGGGGATTGGATGGAGAATTCCCATAGAACACAGGGAAAAGAGGTTCCTTAAGGTGTGTCCTAAAATCTTTTGGATTTAATTACTTAGGCCCCATCTGCGCTAACCATTTAATGCAGCTTGAAGTGGTGGCAACCAGAAAACAAACCCCCACAAAAGCACACAAAAGAAAACCCTTAATGTATATCAGTGCTCTGCAATTTGCATAATCACAATTTGGGTTTCAAATTGATTGCAGGATTTCTTGTGTAGTTATCTGCACAGCAAAACCACTTTATTCTATAATGGTTTGAAACTGCATTAAATGGTCAGTGTTGATGGGAGCCTTAGGATGAATCTGCAGTGCCCTATATGCCAGGATCTAATCCAAGATTTGAACTGGATTATAGGAGTCTAAACTGAGTCTGGGATACTCTGATAATCTGGATCAGAACCTGGGATATAGGGCAGTATAAAGCCAGCCTAGATACGGCCTTAGACTAAGTATAGGCAAACTCAGGCCCAGGGGCCGGATGCAGCCCCTTGGGCTCTTTTCTCAGACCCTCCTCTCTCACCATCCTATTCTTCCTTCTCTCTCCTTTTTCCCCCCTTCCCATACCGCCCTCTTTCTCCCTCCCTCCTTCCTTCCCTTCCAGCCTTTCATCCTTCTTTCCCTCTTTCCTCCTTCCTCCCTTCCTTCCCCCCTCTCTTTCTCCTCCCTCTCTTCTCTTTTGTCTTTCCTTCCTTCTCTCTTTCCTTCCTCCCTCCCTCCATTCTCTTCCACCATTCCTTCCATCCTTCTCTTCCTCCCTTTCTTCCCTTTTGTTTTTCCTTCCTTCTCTCTTTCATTCCTTTCTCCCTTTCCTCCCTCCATTCCCTTCCATCCTTCTCTTCCTCCCTTACTTTTCTTTTTCCTTCCTCCTTACCTCCTGGGGGATGTTTGACTGGGTGAAGAGAAGTAGAGAGGGAACGCGAGAACCATGTTTCAACATTTCAAAGGGTGTTCCTCCCATTGAGGAGGAGGGGGGAAACTGACTTTCTGCTGCTCTAGAGATCAGGGCACAAGGGAGCAATGAGGTCAAATGGCAGGGAAAGAGATTCGACTGAAATGATTCAAATGAACTTCCTGAGAGTAAGAGCTGTTGGAGACTGGCACAGGCTGCCTGGGAGTGTGGTGGAGTCTCCTTCTCTGGAGGCTTTTCTGCAGAGGTTGTCTATTAGGAGTGCTTTGATTGTGTTTCTTGCATGGCAGGGGATTGGGAATGGGTGGCCCTTGGGGGTCTCTTCCAGCTCTTAAATTCTATATCAGGAGTAGGCAATATGGGGTCGAATGGATGCACTTTTTCTCTCCTTTCACGATCTCATTCTGACCAAGGCCAACCCTTTGGGATTTGAACATTTCCCATATTTCCTGCATTTTCTGCCTCCAAGAGAGAAGAGGAAGGGGAGGAAAGGCCAGGAAGGGGACTTGGGGAGAACCTCCTCCCTCCTGGCTCGCCCATCCCACTCTGGCCCAACATGTGGCCCCCAAGTTAGAAAGTTTGCCCAAGTCTGCCTTAGACGTATTGCCAGAAAAAACAAAAAACTAAGTTACAAGCTGTGCACATCTAAAGAATGGGCTAAAGTTGAATGGGCTAAAGTGGTAGTGGTGTTTTCTTCAAAATGTGTTGTATGTATTTTTTAAAAATAATAACAAAGAAATAATTTTTGAAGGGGATGTAAAGTGCCAGACTCTGTATTCTTAAAAAAAAACCTAGAATTATTACCTTGACTGTCATTGTTGTTATTAATTTGATTTACGCTCTACTTTTTCTCATCAGAGCTTAGGCAGAAATGTTATGTATCAGAATGTTTTCAATCTGATGACCTCAAGACTGCATTAAAAATAAGAATCAATATAAAGCAATGACAACCCTTTCCCATGAAATCCTAATCATATTTCTTTGAAAGTTAAGTCTGGCCATATTCAGTGAGGCTTACTCCCAAATTAAGTGTGCATAGGATTACAACTGAAATTGGCAATTCAGGAAATGCACACAGCATTTGCATATGAATATCTCTCACTATGGTTTTCGAGGGTATCAACACAGAAGGAGATTTACTTCTTTGCATTGTACAATGGAATAAGGATCACCACTCCATTTAGCAATAGCTGCAAGAAATTGCTGTTTGCCAGCAAGGCCTGGAAAAGGCCTATTTTTTGGACTGCAAGTCCTGGAATTCTCTAACCAGTATGACCATTGCTGGCTGGAGGATGCTGAAAGTTGCTGTTCAAAAATACAACATTTTCATGTTTTTCTTGAACATTTGTATGAGAATTCCATCCTAATTTCCAACCACTTGTGCATTTATATCAGTGATTCCCAACCTTTTTTTGACCAGGGACCACTTGACCTGGAGCCACTTTGACCAGGGACCACTTGATCAGGGACCACTTTGACCAGGGACCACTTGACCAGGGGCCACTTTGATAGGGGACCATTCTCCAACATTAGTACCAAAACAGTTACGAATCAATTTTTGGTCAACTTGAGATTTGGTTTGGTTATTTGGGGCGCTGACTCAGAAAATCGCATTGGATAGACCACATCAGCTCCAGTTTCTGATACAGAACATATGCCATTCAGTAGTCACCATCTGCTCACCCACAGAAAACCATATTTAATCATCTAGAGCCACTGGCCTTATTTTAGATCTCGCAGCCCATCAGTGGGTCATGGCCCACAGGTTGATATGGAATGTTGGATCATTACTGGAAATTTAAGATCTTCGTATTCCTTCTTGCTAGAAAAACTTATCAAATGTATGTTGGTTTCAGTATTACATTGTGATGTTGCTTCACACCTAGATTAAGTTTCAACAATATATGACATCACCATTTCCCAGAAGATTTAGATACAACTCTTGGTGAAATTGGTGTGTTTTTTCTATCCACAGAGATGCATTCTTGGTGACGTCAGTTTCTCAGATGACTCATCTATGCCCTGAATAACCTCAATTACGTGATTGTAATTTTGGTACAGTCAGAAGAAGAGCCCATAAACACACAACTGTATTGATGTTATGGCATGTAAAAACAAAGATGGAAATGATCTGTGACTGAAGATTCACAACTGTTTCTGTGATGATGGAATTGCACATCCTTTCCTACTTGGGAGCAACAGCCTGGAAAATATAGGATGGGTTATAAAGATCTCTCCTATTTTGAGGAGCCATTATATGGGCTGTAGTGGAGGTAGAGAGGTGGGCTTGTTCGAATTTGGTACATTAGGCTTTGCCATTTTCAGTACCCATCATGAGTTGAACTGATGGACATTGGAACATTGTTTTTCAAGTATACTGTGAGAACGATTATTATTTGACAATGATACAGAAAGCGTTGCATACATAGCCTGCCAGAACCTGACGGTCACCCAGAAGATCTTTACTTCGGCTGCCCCACAACTGTGACGTGACCTGCCAGAAGAGATTCAACAGCTAGATCCTCTGTTGAAATTTAAGAAACAATTGAAGACACATAAATTGACAAAGAAGACATTTCCACCCACTTTCCCCATCAAATGGGATGAAGTCCCTGGTTTCCAAATGTGAAGTCCTTGGGACCAAGGCATTATGGGAGTACTGGCTTAGGAAATTGCCTGTCAAAAAGACACAGGTGATGTCCCAAAGCACTCCTCTCAAAGAGCCTTGGCTCTAAGGATTCTGTGGAGCTATGCATTCAAGGATCAGAAAATTATGAATACAGCTAGCTTCTGGTAAAAGGTTTATGCTTGGCAATCCAGTGTAATAATGCAGGCGGAGCATTTCACTATGCCAGAAGTGAATAGACTCTTGGCAGAGGAGAGACAAAACTACCTAAAAGGAAAAAAAAGTGTTTCGATTAGATGCAGTTAAACACATGATCCATTTTTTTGTTTTGATTAGTAGAATTACAAATATGTTCCCATTCGTATATTTTGAACCAGGTTCAAGTCAAATCAAATTTAGGCATGCATTTGAGTCTAAGAAATCTGTACAATAGTTGTCACAAAATGTGAGAGACTGTAATTTTGCATTGCAAAGCTCGTTCTTGTGATTTTGTCTTAATCGGCAGAGCCTTTTAAAAACTGTTCCTCCCTTTTTATCTGCATGTGTCTTGTTACACCATCTGCCTTTTGTCAAGGCTGCCAGTTTTCAATCTAGGTTATTTTCCCTTTCCAAATATTTCCACTCCGTATCCCACTCCACCCTGGACGTCCTTGTCCAAACATGTCTACAATTCATTGCCAATACTACAGCTGGTTGAAGAAAACTGATTAGTTTTTCATTTTAAAACATGTAGTGTAGTGTTGCACACTTGAATGGAAAATACATGGAAATGATTTATATTTCCTATCTAGTCCCTCTTCTTCCTTTCTCTCCACTGCTCTGATACAAAATAATACTGACTGGGTGGGTAAGTGCACTCTTTCTGTATTCTAAAAGTCGAGATTTAAAAGAAAGCAAAATTTATTATGATTTATTATTATTATGATTGCATACAATTTATGATGGGAATTTTTTGTCCAATACCCTCACACACCCTAAAAGGGAACCTCAACCGGGTCTCTGATGGATAATCTAATGAGGTTCCAACGCTGTCATTCTGAAATTTCACAAGACCCCAATCAAACCATTCTTCTCAAGTCTTACCCCATTTACCCGCTAATTATGCATAAGCACTATACACACTGTTGACTTGCACCTTCACAATAAACAGGGATCAGCAGTTGGCCAGCTCCCCATTTTACAAAATCCTGTGCTTGACATAAAACACACATCTATCAACTCACCTTCTCACACTTTTGTCCTAATCTCTGAGCCCATCAGAGAACTCACTCACCCATTGTCCCAAATCTGGGAATACTATGGTGCCAACGTAAACTCATCATCCATCCTTCATCTTCATGATTTAGCCCGCCTTCTTTCCCAATCATAGAATCATAGAGTTGGAAGAGACCTTGTGGGCCATCCAAGAAACAGGAAAATTGCATTCAAAGCACCCCCTACAGATGGTTGTCTAGCCTCTGTTTAAAAGCCTCCATAGAAGGAGCCTCCACCACACTCCGGGGCAGAGAGTTCCACTGCTGAACACCTCTCTCAGTCAGGAAGTTCTTCCTAATGTTCAGATGGAATCTCCTTTCTTATAGTTCGAAGCCATTGTTCCCAACATGCATCAGACAGCTTCAAATTCAACCAATGACAGTTTATTAAAATTCCCACAAGATCTCTCTGTTGATCAGTTGTCAAGATCCATTGACATTTAAATTCTCAACCAATCAGTGACCAGAAAGAGACATCTCATTGCCCCCTTTGCCAGCGAGACTGTGGATTCTAAAAAGCGCACTAATAATCACCATTTCTCTTTTTTCCAAGGGTGTGTGAAATACTTATAAAATGTTCATGCTTGTAAATGGGAGGCATGATAGATTTGGGATTACACATAGTCCCCTAGAATCCATCTTGACCATTGCTGAATAAATGATTTCTATTCCTGCCTTTATTCTTGTGTGTGTTCATTAGATTGATTGGCGTTCTAGCAAGACCTGCGATTTCAGATAACACTATAATGCTTCATAATTTCTTGTCAAATTCTAAGAGTGCAGTGGTGAAAGCCTTTTTAAAATGATGGGTGTGGGATCACACACCTTTTCTTAAACCAGAGAGGGCTTCTGCCTTAAGAATGACACATACTCACATTTATATATAGATACCAGACAGATGATATTTTCAGATCAAGTTGACTTTTCCCCGTGACAGTGTTATGATGTTAGATTTGGGGGTATCAGGGACATGCAAACTATACACTGCTTAAAGAGTTGTCTGGAAATAAAAGGCTAAAAGAAAAATTGGTTGTGGCTTTTTTAAACCCAATGTTTCACGTGTATTATGTGTAATTCAAATTATAATAGAAGCAATCTGCTCCTTTCTGAAAGATGTATCAAGTAGATTCTTAATAAATGCTGATTACAAGAGATAATGAGTTTGAAGGTGGGTTCAGTGGTCTGTGAGTTAATGGAGGGCCCTTCTACACATGACTAAAAACCTAGAAGTAATTGGGTTAAAAGGGGGTGGGGTGGCTAAATGACGTTTAGCCAAAGTGTGGGCGGAATTAGGTTAACAACTGAAAATATGTTAAAAAGATGTGCTTAAAACCCAATTCTGCCAGAAAAATGTGCACCCTGCAGTCAGGCAAAACACACACTTTCCCCCCTTCCTCCTGTGTGGACTGCTACAGCACACATGCACCTTTTAAAAGCCTGATAAAGCTGGTCAGCTGGTCGGGCTATCAAAACATGGAGCCACAAAGGTGGCTCAAGGGGAGCACAAGTGGAAAGCAATTAGAACTCTGTGAAACTCTTTCTTTCAAAGTTTATAATAGTAAACAGGGTTTGAATTAACAATTGGGTGAGGAGAGAAATAAGAAATCTGCTTATGTTTACATTAGCATGTGCACATATGAGGTCCAACACATAATGGAGTGATACCTTTTAAAAAAAACTTTTGCCAGATGTCCCTGATTTGCTCTTTATCTTGTTCCTCTTCAAATGAAGATGTGAGGACAGCGGGAGACCATTTTCCAGGACTGACATGTCTGTGTGTGGACCTGCTGTCAGGTCCTGGGATTTTTTACCCCAGATTTAAAATGCACATTTTAGTGCTATCTGGAAGTGCCCGCAGAGGCCGAATGAGGGGTCAACAAAGCATGTCACACAGCTCAGTTGACTGATGGAAATCTTAAATCAATCTTAAGAATTGTCACAAGTAACTGACAACAAACATTGATGCACTGGTAAAAAAGGGTGGCCAACAACACTGTTCTCACTGACACTGAAGGTATGTTTCTTTACTTTTTGTGGTGTAGCTACATTTAATAAATTATAAGTTTTAAAAATCCTTGAGTAAAACAAACCCATCTTACTGTTCATGCTTTGGCAACCCTTGTTTCTACACTTGTTGCTTTGGCTGCATTTTAAAGGGCAAAAATTTATGTTATGGCTTTTATATCCAATTTATATTAGTTCACACAAACACTCTCCTTCCATCTGCCACTGGCCCAGCCTGTCTGTCAATCTTTGAAAATGCAATGTGGATCCCGTGTCAAAAAGTTTGCCCATGCATGGTTTACAGCCAAGTACTCTACATTGGGTAAATAATAGATCAGTTTCTATGTCAGTGGATAAATGGACATAAATCAGACTTTAAGTATGAGAACACACAAAAACCAGATGTAGAAAACCTCAGTTTTCCTAGGCATTCAGAATAGCTGTCTTTGAACAACAACAAACAAAAAAAAAACCTACAAAGAAAGTTTGAAAAGAGAAACAGCAGCACTGGAAAATATCCACATTCTTGTACACAGACAATGTACTCACTACACATATTATAACATGAGCTAATACCCTGGCCTCATGAGGGCTCTCTTGGATAGTTTATCACACCTTCTGGTTCCCAGCCTGCATGACTTCATTTCAGTAACTCCCTCCATTCATATGATTATCCTCTCATCTTGCTTTTAGACAATATCTTCCCCCATCTTTGTCCTCTACAGTTAAATCTGTATTATTCATCTTATCACAATACCCACAAGTTTTGCATTTCTATGGCTGTTCACACACAATCTGCCTGTAAAGATCTGCTACAAGGCAATTCACTTCATTCATCCGAGGAAGTAGACATAGAACCTCATCTGATGGGGTTTCCCCCCGTCCTGGTACACTGTTGGCATACTGCCAGATCCCATCATATGACCCAGGGCTAGTTCTGGCAGGGTTCCACTGGGCTCTGTTTTGTCAGAATCCCAGCATCACGTTAAGATGGAGAGCTGAGGATATGGGTACTTACCTGTAGGCTCATTGAAGAAGCTGGGGACAGCACAGGAGGAAGCCGAGGACAGCTGGGAAATGTCATGAGATGGCAGCCTACAACCAACCATTGTAAGGAGACAAAGCTGGGCATTGCCCCACAGTTTCCCCCACTGGCCCCGGCTTCTGGACCTCTATCTGATGAGGTCCTTAGGCTGCCTCTGCACTGTAGAATTATGGTAATGCAGTTTAACAACACTTTAGCTGGC